AGATTAAGCCTATCGCAATAGTGTTTTGAACGGATACACAGCTTAGGTGCGGCTGCTGTCGTGAGAAAGCTGAGTTTTATTCGGATCATTTGTACGAGAACTTGAGTTCGGGAGGACCTGTTTCGGCCAAAACTCAGTTCAAAGAAAACTTGGTTTTGATGAAGGTGAGGGTTTAAGGAGAATGTCCAGCGCAGGAGAGGAAGATCAGTTTACCCAATGCTTTGTAAGTTTTGAGAGTTACATCGTAGTAGTTTCCAGTGCAAATTTGGTATGACTTTACGTGCTGTCCCAAGTTTTGCTGAACTTCGTTTAGTTGAGCGTGTCTCTGACATGCCGGTCAAGAGCATGTTACTCAGTCGTTATCGTAGCGCCTGATCTCGGTTGTGGTGAGCACACGGTAAGGGGTCAAAATCTCAAAATTCGCTAAAATTTGCATATTGTAATTTGAGTGCTGATCACGAATATCAAATTGATTTCTCATGATATTGCAATTTTCTTTAGTCACGATGGTAAACGGTACGGGGTAGGCTTCAGATTTCCACCAAACTTTGTTTACGGGTCATTTGACAATTTGCTTGAAACTGTGTACAGGGCTACAAATGAATATCATAGTCGTGTCAGCGTAATCAAAAAACCCTACATGAAGTTCCAGCAAAATCTGATTTTCAGGTCGATATGCCAGATTTGCGCCCACCTTGTCGCGGCTCCGCGATGCGAGCGCTCCTAGAAGTAGGAGACCGGGAGCACTGGTTGCTGCCGCGCTACACGGCGACGATATCGGCACTTTCTTACGTTTGCCGCAATCGCCGCTGGACCTCTCCTCGCCTTGGCGCGTTGCCAGCAAAAAGGCTATATGTAGCTTCGGCGCCTCATCGCAGCGTCTGTTCGCTTTCGTTTTCGATCGATAATCTTTTCGTATGTTTTCCATTGTGCTCGTGCTGGCAATTAGCTCCCTCCTTTGATGTTTCTTTCGCGTTAGCGGTTGAGCAGATAGAGAGTTATATTAGATCGAAGTGTGATTTGGGATTCTTTTGGACGAACTACTTTTGAAACCTTTGAGATTTGATATCTTGTAAACCTTGGGAGCGGAGAGGCTGTCGCGCCTGGTATCCGGCGACGCGTGGCGGTTCTGTATAGGTGAAGCCTCGGGAGCATATTTCTTATTTGTGTTTATAGTCGTGCGCATCGGTAGCACGGGATGGGGCAGCTCGTCCCTTGTTGAGCTTATTTTCGTGCATTAGTTTAGTCTTGATTTTAGTAGTTTTCTTCGTAGTTTAGTTGTAAGTTTTTATGTAGCTTTCATTGTCCTTTTATGTCATAAGGATAAATCCTTAGTGTTTAATGTGTTGCTCAGACGCGCGTAGGGCAAGTAGTAGGGTAGGCTGCGTCGTATGCAGTAAGCGGGCGAGCGTGCGGGTGTCTCGGGTAAATCTAGGTGCTTAGGGCCCACCGAGCCGCCACACACTTCCTCTTTTCACCAGATGGTACAAAATTGATTATAAACTCCGTAAACGCAATAGGTTTACACTGATGTAAAGTGTCACATAACCATATTTTAGCTAAAATAACACGCTCCTTACTTTTTTCTAGTCTTAGTACAGTTGGTAAATTGTCTAGATATCCATTACCATTCGTACCTATAGTTACAAATGGCTGCGAAGAGCGCGCCCTATGACCCAGTACAAATTGCGCTTCCGCGCGGGACTCTTGACGATATAGCGCTCACACCCCATAACTTTCATTGTGACGCTGAAAACATCCTTTACCTAGGAGGATCCTGAAAATACAAGTACGCTTCAACCTACAGGCTGAGCTACAAGTACAGTTACTTTACGATATTTAATGTTTGAGCTACAGTTGCCAACAATCGATGTTTTCCGAACGATAAGGTTTATCTTGTTGACGAAGTGAGCAGATGCTAATTACGCGTTGATGAGGCAGTAGTTTCAATGATGATAGTGGTAAGCATGTCGAAACAAATCGTCAGCTTTCTTTTTATATACAGAGGCTTTTTCGTACAGCTTTTCTTACTAGCAAGCTTCTTTCAAGCATGCTTCCAATTTTTGATGCTGAACGCTTGAAAGTTGCAAAAGAAGGCTCCTTGTTTTTGCTTTTGCTGAGTTTTCAGGCATGCGAAGTGCACACTTTACACGTTAACTGACAAACTGCGAAACTAGAACCTGCTCATTTTTAGTGATTTCTCCTTGTTTCTTGGTTTCTTTTATTTTAGTTGGTTATATGTTAGTAGATCACATTTCTACATTTTGTTAGGCTAGAAAATATTTACTGGGAAGTTACTAGTGTGGGTGCCGTCGCCAATAGGGCTTAGTGTGCAATCTCACATATTAAGTTACAAATGACTCAAGATTACTTGATTTTATAATAGGTTCGAACGATATCTGCATGCGGCGTGTTTAGTTGATTCCAAATTACTCCATAAGATGGACTCCATGCTCGAAACTAAGGCTCTGACTGCCTCTTTCACATAACTGTAGGCACAGAAGCCAGGACCCTTACACAACCAGATGCCACTCACGAAAACTTTCAAATTATCGTACTGAAGAAGTGGTTTTTCTGAATGTGCCACTTAAGGAAGCAGTCCTCTTGACCACGTCAGATAAAACATCGTGGAAATTAGATTGTAAAATAAATTGGCAAAAAAACGTCAACCACCTATCCATCTCTCATTAGCAACCACTGTTATCTCGCTCGTGTCCTTTTATCTCATCTGCAGACGGCATGTACACTTGTATGATATAACTCCTCAAAAACACAACAAAAACAGATCCTTTAGCACGTTTGTTTCAAGAATAACATGAAGAACCATGAAGGAATACCTTATGTCACAAGAAAAGGTATGAAAGGAGCTTTACAAAAACGATAATGCCTAGTCTAGACCCACCAAGAAGCAATATGTATAAGTTTTAGTCCTTCACCGAACTTTTAATCAGCTTGACTCGCTCGGAAATGATTTTCATCTAAAGCAACGTTCTATGTACACAGCAGAAATGGTTCTATCTGAGAGACATACCTTCGCTTAGGTGAAATTTCGCAAGCACATCTTTGCGGTACAATATCGGAATAAGCCGCAGAAACACCAAGACTGGAAAGAACTAAAGAAACCGAACAACAGTTCTATGCTGTCCGAAAGAGAGGAGAACACCTGCACTGAAATTGCATTGGGTACTTTTACTATAGAACCTTCAAGGCTTACTCTACGAAGCCAAAAGTCGATGGATTGATAAGGAATAGCAGACTTGGTCACATTTGCCCGAAATGCATAAGTCCAAAGTTTAGTCCGCATCTGTTTGAAAGTGGAATTTTCTTACTGCGCCTATTTACAGACAGACAATCACACAGATAGAAATTTAGCTTTATATTTATTTATTTATTTTGTACGCTCGTAGGCGTGCTGTATGTCGAATAAGAAAAAGGCAATTACAAGACAAACATCAATCACAGAGAATACAAAGAACTTCAAATATAGGTTATGTACACAGAAATAGATATGCTAGAATGGGACTTTAGAAGACATATTTCCGAGTAGAGATCCCGTTAAGAATTTCTGCAGTAACAATCCATCCTAGTCCGCCAACGGAAATGACCGTACAGGGCAGCACGAGCACCCCGAGGGCCCGACAAATTGCTGCACCGGCAGCCCCCGCCAGCATAACCAAATGGGTGCACTGGCAGGGGGCCGCCAGTACACCCGCTTGTCAAACCCTCAGCGCGCACGCACCACCCAGCCACGGCCCCCGCCGATGAAGAAGAGCAGATTGATGAGTCGGGTAAGGAAATTCAACGGAATTAATCGTTACTCGGATATGCCTTCTAAAGCCGCTACTTCAGCTGGAATGAAAAGCACATGAGTGAATTTGAATTAAAGAGGTAACATGGAAAGACAAATTAACTTTTACACTTAATCAATCTTGGAAACAAAGGAGAAAGCAAACATGGGTAGGAGTCATGCACAAGCAGCCAAAGAAAAAAGAAAATCTGAATCACTATTCAACATCTGGAATTTGAAGTAAATCGAGAATATCAATTCTGGAAATGGCTTTTTTGAACTGGAATGAATTTTTGAGAGCTAATAAAGGGAGTGGTAGACATTCGAGCCATTTGGCATTCCTTGAGATAAAAGTATTCAGTCGGCGAGTACGATTCGAGGTAAGTAGTTTGGAAAATCGAAAAGCGATAGAACCATGACGACCATAGACAGGACGAAAAGACCAAAATTTAGAAGGCTTCAAACGCAGTTCTCCTCTAAGTATCTTGAATGCTAAAATCAAATCATTTTGTATTCTTATATAATACAGATTTTTGAGATTTAGTTTTTCCAGACGGTTTTTGTAGGAAGGCAAAGCTTGAGGATAATGAGAATGAATATGATTTGGTATAGGTTTCAGTTTTTTGGGAGATTTGTAGACAATATCACATGTGATTATTGGTAGTTCAAGTCTCTGTTTAGTAATTTTTGGCAAGTTTACAAGTGATTCGTCACAATAATTAATGAATATGCAAGAGATATGTATATCAAGTCGACTTTGGTTGCTGAGAGCATTTTGTGAGTCCAGAAGTTATCCTATAAAAAATGAGACAGCCAAGATTTTGCTTGTTTCCAAAAGTAAAAATAGTGTTCTGGCCACGCCAGAACCCCTGCCAATGGCGGCCCCCTTTCTTGCATCAGGCGCGGGGCGCGTAGCCCCGCACTCTTCGTTTTGCGCTCTCCCGAGACCTTGTCAATATCCTGATAAACATAACCCCTGAACCACTTTCTTATTCTACTAAAAAGGGCTTGCTATACGCCCTGTACACATTAGGCTATACCATAAGCCTCAAGTCGCCACATTTTTGGTGCATCGGCCAAACTATCGCCGTATTTGAGGTTGATCTACTTGACCTTGGGACTCAGCTAGCCCTAAATCACAAATCTTTGTTTGTCACACTTTCCCAACTCAAAAGCAGTTGGAATTTTTTGTGTTAGAGCCAAATAGTCAAACATGTCTCTATATTTTCACAAAAAAGCCATCCGTATCAGTTCGTCCAGACTGTCAGAGCTTCTCAAAACGTACGAAGCTAATGGACACGGAAAAAAGGTCGACTACCCAGAGGACGATCAGGAACGGCATGATAAATGCGCAGCAAACTTGATATCACTAGCTGAGTGCCTAGACGAGGTAAAAGAGTATACGGAAACGCTCGAGAGCAAAGTTGACAATATGGAGCAAGTTTTCATGGGTATCAAATCCAAAACTGAGCAAAAAGAATGGATTGCGGAGATTGAAGAGTTTGAAAAAGAATCGGAATATTCTGAAATTGTTAACGAGTCCGCCAATTTCGTGCTCAGGGTTAGACTCAGATCGCAGACGCAAAAATAAAACTGCAACAGGTGCAATATAAAATGAAAGTTTCTGTCCACGTAAAGCCTTCCAATCAAAATGTTCAGGAAGACGTGGCAAGTGAGTCTTCCAGTCAAAACGTTCAGGAAGACGAACCAGGAGAGTTTAGTACGATTAGCAATGAGTCTGCTAACACGCAAACATTGCCAGTAAGGAAAACACGTATTATTAAAGCGCCATCAATTACATTACCGACATTTAGTGGTCGCCGGGAAGAATTTCCGGAGTTTGGGCCGTCTTTGAGACGCTCATACATGAAAATGACGAGTTATCTACAGTCGAAAAAATTGTACATCTCAAAGAAAGTTTGAAAGGAGCAGCTGAGAAAGCCATTCGAGGCATCAAGCCTGTTCCAGCCAAGCACGACTGGAACACCAAAGAGGGCTCCTCAGTGCGAGGAAATCAATGAAAAAAACGGATAAGTCAGTCCCCGATTATCAACTGGAGAGAGAAAGGATCCATGTTGGATTGCGCATCGATAAATCATATGATTTACATGGAGAAAAGAAGTTCTTGCCAAAGTCATGTTCAAAGAAGAATTCACTGAACCGGAACGAAACGCGATAAACTGTAACAACAATGACCAAAATTATTTGGACCAAAAGTCCGTGCCCACTGCTGATAATCCTTTGCAGGGGCAGGCATGACACCTACGGTGCCACGAGCAAGGTTTGCGACAGCTGGCGTAGAAGGCATAGACGCATTGACGGTGCGATCAATCTCTACCATAGAGTCTGAAGAAAATGAAAATCTCCTCTCTACTTCCTATTGTGACTACTTTCTATACCGATACTTCCTACTGTATACAGCTGCTGTTCCATTGCCTGCACCCTTTCGCCAATTCCTCCCCTTTAGAGCTCTGGACATCAGCACTGCCGCCGATACAACTCTTCCAACTCACAAGATCCCGTTACTAGATCCAGAAAAATGGAAGCAGTGTTATGGTATAGATTATTTGATTCCGTATCTAGATTGTCCTAAGCTTTTCCTGCTCTGAATGGCCGGCCGGAGTGTGCCGATAACATCGGCACCTACTTTGTTGTATGTTATCTGCTGCCAGAGTACTCTTAAGGTCATGCAATAAGCATGACCTGCTGTGATATAAGTCTATTTACTGCCCAGATGCCTAGTAACTTACATAGCCACGCCTATTATTGTCAGCATTCTACCATTGCACCCACGAGTGCAGGTCGCCTGTTCATAAAGCTTATTAGCTAATGTGTTCTATATAACACACTCTACCAGGCGCTATTTCGCCTAAGGCTACTATAAAGCCTAGAACCACCGATACTGTTCTGGCCACGCCAGAATCCCTGCCGATGGCGGCCCCCTTTCTTGCATCAGAGGCGGGGCGCGTAGCCCGCACTCTTCGTTTTGCGCTCTCCCGAGACCTTGTCAATATCCTGATAAACATAACCACTGAACCACTTTCTTATTGTACTAAAAAGGGCCTGCCATACGCCCTGTACACATTAGGCTAAACCATAAGCTCAAGTCGCCACAAATAGAGCTTATCCTATTTTGCAGAACACTTAGCTGCTTTACAAAGAATAAAAAACTCCATAAGTTCTGAGCTTACCCCAAATAGGCTTGAATATAATAGCGTTTTTTGGCTTTTCCTGTACAGTATGTTTCAACCCGGAGCAGGCGAAACATGTCACGTGGAGGCAGAACGTCCGCATCGCTGGGATCTTTGCTAGCGCACTGAGCTAGAATTTTGCCGAGCTAAGACAAAAGGGAATGAAGAGACGCAGATATAGGTTCTTACCAGAATCTACTATACTGTAGCTTCGAAATGGCACGAACCGTTGCGAAGCGGACCCCCGCCAACCCAATTTCCGCTTCAAGCCGATTGAAAATTACTGTACCTTTATTAAACGCTCTACCATTTGCAATTGTCTTATTGAATCGCGGCTACAAGCTAGGCCAATCGACAGCCATAAGCACAAATGCACAGAAATGGTGATTCCGTAATTGCTGTAAAAATAAACGGCATGACAATGTTTCTTGCAAAACGGGTTTTAGAACGTATTCGAAACATAATTTTTCTTGTCTCCACTGCTTGAATGAGTGACAGTAAAGTGCATATAAGTTTCTGCTACTTAGGCCATAAGACTTGCAGAGTATTACGGACTGTGGACCTGCAATAGCTTGAAAGGCGTTTAGCAGTCATAACACTACCTGCCTCAATTCAACCAGCGGAGATACGGAAGTGTACTGGTTGACTCTTGAAGTTTGCGGTCAGCTTAAATTATGCGAATGAGATCTATGATGCACAAAAGTTTCAAAAGAGATCATCTAGGCTAGTAGAGAAAAAGGATTAGTAGTACTTTCTCTGTAGAAGCAGGGAAAGGTTTTATCATTCCCACTGTCTGTGGTTCTCGCAGAACTGCAAGAAGATAATGCCTAGAGTACATCGGTCAGAAGTTCTTACAAACCCCTAAAGATGTACAACTTGTTGCCCAAATCTGATTATATAGCGTCATCGTAATACCACTACAGGGCATTACATATTATGGAGTAAAAGAACGTCTTCAGTCCTTTTCGTACAAGGAAGTCCATGAATCGTTAGGTTTATTTAAAATCATCTAGTAACTGCTACGTGAAAACTTGCAAAAATTGCATCCCAATGGAATGGTAAAATCGTGGAAACCTCTATGGAAGCTCTTTGTTGGCTTAATGTTGTTTGAAATTGGGCTCAACAAAATCAACAGAACGCGTCATAGTAAAATCGTAGCTGCGAAACCCGCGGATAATTATGCGCTATGATCAGTGTTGTAAACACGCCTTTTCATTTCTTTTCCTTTCCACACTTTACGGTGAACGTATATCTGGAGCAAAGGTGATAGTGACCATAAGACTTGTGCCGAACGCTTCCAAAAGCTAGCTTTTGATTTCTTGATCCTGATTAGATGAATTCATCCTGGCCAAAATCTACTTAGTATTGAAAAAAAATTTTTTTTGGCGCAATCGAAAGATTTCGTTGTTGAGAGATCTGCCGCAGTGGCGCACAGAGGAGGGAGCCACCCCCCTCTGAGAATAGGTCGCAAAATTTTTGGAAGTTATTCACATGCGTTACAAAATTTTGCGCGACTTGTTTTTACTTATGATTAAAATAATTGTAGAGATTAAAAATTCAAATAAACCTTGTAAAGGATTTTTTGGGGCGTAGCGCCTTCACGCCCTCCTTTTTCTGAAATTTCGGAGTTATGGACTGCAAAGATTTTGAGAGCATCCCAAAATTTTTTTTGGATGAAAGTGCGCGGTTAACACCACGCACCTTCATCCGAAAAATTCTTTGTCGCTTCTTCCTTCTCCCTCTGAATGGAAATTGGTCTGCCGCTGTAAGACAAGGCGGTATCGCAAAAAAAGTTGCTGCCCTTAAAAGAGCAGTTTGGTGAAATACTTTGCTTCACTTGAACTCCGTTACTTTACTTAGCTATGTTAGAACTGATAATTGTTGCTAGGCAAGGTCTCTGCTAATTTTTATTTTGTAGAAGAATATCAGTGAAGGAAAGAAAAGAATGACTGCGAAAACCAAAACCCAGTCGCACAGTAGTAGGTGCATCCGACCGTCGCGTAATCATCCACAGAGTCCAAGTTGTGCGTTACATGGCCCTGCCCCAACTCTAGAGCATTGAGAGCACGTAGTTCCAGGCTTGTACTGCAGGCTGTCCACTTTGTTGCCTCTAAATTAATATCGTCAAACTAGGCTTGATGATCAATTTAGGACTAAGTCATACGGCGGGTAATAGCGGCATGCTTCCACCCAGTCGTTACCGCACTTGGCAATAGAGCAACCCAACTGTCTACTCGAGGCCCAGCCCATCTTCAAGAGTATGTTTCAAAATAAAATACATAATATTGGGTCTGTGTAAAAGTTGTGTCACTTCACTGAATCCATCCTCAACTGCCAAATAGAGATAATGGGCCTATAGTTTGAGTTGTATCTAATGCAGCATTGCTTCCTCTGTCAAGCTGCATGTTCCGCGACTCTTGCGACAAATGCGAGGATAACTGCCGAAGATTACTTTATTTTCATTCAGTCTAGCTTCCGCTAATTTTCCGTTTTTTTTTCAAAAACTTTTGGAGGAGCTTCGATTACCAGATACAACAAATCTTTTGCTAATTGAAGCAATTTTGTTTAATCTCCGCGATGCTAAAGCTTTACTAAATAATTTTTTGAAGTATTGACTTCTGATGAAATTGCATGACACCTAACACACTGCAAAAATCTCCAAAATATTGGTGCTTAAAACTCGTTCAATATTACCACTAACTTTATCTAGTAAATGGGCGATTATCGCTTTAAGATATGGAGACTTCGTAATTTGGGGTATAACCGTGCGCATTTGTGAAAGTGAAAAATACGGCGTTTTTCTCGTGAATCTCGCATGTATCGTAAAGGAAAGATAGCTGTTAGAAGGTATAGAAGAATCTCTGCCTCGAAGTTATGAAGATTGTTTGCCACTCAAAGTTCGAAGCTTGAACAGGCAAATAAAAAATTGTTCACTTTAGAAAATTATACTAGATCTTTTGAAAACAAGCTGGAGGTTTAGAAAATTCTGCCGCTGAACAACAAAAGGTCTTCTACATAAGGGTAATCAAAGCTTCTTTAGTGTCTCAAATAACCATTGTGAGAATTAGAAGAAGCTAGACAATGTAAAAATGAGGGGTCGTAACTTTCTGCAATTATCTCCATACGCGTCGCCAGTCGCTTTGCGAACATAGCTGCTGAGAAGAAGAAGAGAATGTCTGTTACGAAATAATGCGGTGTTCTACGTTGAGTCTGTGCAAAAGTTTTGCCAGTTTGAATCCCATCCGCAAACCCGAAGTGGAGATAAATAAATATTCCAAGCCGGGCACGGCTTGGAATATTTATTTATCTCCACTTCGGGTTTGCGGATGGGATTCAAACTGGCAAAACTTTTGCACAGACTCAACGTAGAACACCGCATTATTTCGTAACAGACATTCTCTTTGATCACGCTAACTCAACGCACTTAACATTTGCTCTATGTCTGTGATACTTCATGGAGATATAAATCATTGCCCTTGATACATATGCACTTACTAGGGTGTATGATTTGATTGAAGTGCTGTTATGGGCGATACGGAAATGAGCATTTTGGCCAGGACCAGCAACCTTTCGGGAGGGCTTCCACCACTCCGTGATAGTCTGTAAGCTCAACTTCCATCTTTTCAAAAACACATAGGAGAATGCACCTTCTTATTCATGTCTCTCCATGTTGGCTCGTTAACAGTAATTGGACCGCGATAGAAATTTTGCGCTGGACTGTTATCAGCCGGCCTTTGGTAGCCTTCTGTTGGGCAATTTCCGAGGTAATCATGAGCTTCTTTCTCCAACGTGCAATTCCAAACCTTCAAATTTTGATAATTACAGTACTCTGGACAGCAATGAAAGCTGACCAGGTAATTCATGTTAGTGGCTGCCGGTAATTTGGCTCCTGTATTATCTATAACTTGTCCTAAAGCGAGAGTTGATCTGAAAAAGCTAATTGTGAGCTAAACCCATGTAAAACAGCACACGTATCGATTCTTTAAAATCCTTGTTATGTTGTCAACTTTTTTGTGCTCAGAAACAAAGTATACCGTCGAAAGTTGTGAGTATCTTTCATGTGCATTCTCATCGTGTCGGAAATCTTACTCCAGCCACACCAAGTGCTTGGCTCTGAAACTTTCAACATTTACAAGATCTTGTACATCACCATTTTTAGCAAGGATCTCATCTCAGTGCGAAAAAGCAGCTGTATGGTAATACAAATAAACGATTGAGATAAGTCCGGTCTAAGGTCACCAATCTTAATTTAGACAATAAATCTTCAAATAATCGTGATACGTTACGATCTTTTTATAATTCCCATCAACGACGGTTATCATGCGCAATTTTTTTAGTTTGTCATTATCAATATCCCAATCCATCCCCTCTAAGCAATGTTTATCATTCACTCTACTATCTCAAGAAGCGATCTACTATCAACTTAACAAATCAATTTCATTTTGGTCCGATGAGTCACATCATGATATCATTGCCCCTCATAGTAGAGGGAAGTCAACTCAAATTAAACTCCCTAACAAATGAAAACATTCTCAAAATAATATTATTCAACAAAGGAACCCCGAAAGGCCTAAAATTTGTTGTATTCTGCTACAACTCAAATGTTCCATGTGAAGCATAAGAAATATCACTATCTAGCCCGACAATTTTCTTACCGGCAGAACTTGATCCAGGAAATTCGGCTAATGCTTCAACGCATAGCGAGTTCTCACAGGTCAAAGTTCCATCACACTCGCAATTTTCTCCTGTACCCAATTCATAAACTTGTTCTCCACTTTGGATGCTACTGGAAGTTTACAGGATTGCAAATACGGTAATATCATTTGCTGTATATGTACGAAAAAAACTATTATTTTTAGTTGTAAAAAGGTTAAAACACATTCAAACCCTAATGCTTCCTCTTTCTGCCACAAGCTTGAAAATCAGCTTAAAGACAGCGTCCCCTCGAAAGATTTTACAGTGTTGCGATGATAGACCCTCCAGCTAATCTATTAGTTTGGAAGAGTTTAGATCGAAAAAGCGCTCTTGGAAAGCCCAAAATCAGCTCCGAACGTCTTAAAGGCACCGTCCACCCAAAGTGAGGTTGATGAGATTTCGGTGACATACTAGTGTGGGCCCCCACACTAGGCAAACTCCCAAGTAGCGCCGCAAAATACTCCTTCCGAAGCGAGAAATCCGCTCCGGAAGGGACGTAACCGGAGGTGGTCACTCCGCCCACTTTGCAGGCGCGTTGATATAAGCAGGGCGTCATTTGCAAACTAGTCATGGGCAATTGTGCAATCGATTAGGAGTATTAGGAAATGTTTGCCCCAGTCTTCGATCCAGGTTCCGTGTATTTAGCACATTCACACAGAAAGCAGTGAAAGCAAGTGTTTTAGCACACAGAAATGCGTGACAGTCTATTGCAATGATCCATTAGTCATGTAGACGGCGTAAACGATCATTTTGACTACAAATAGTTTTTCAATTTGATGTACATTGCAATAAAAAAACTCACGTCGCATGTTCATCTTGTTTTATTGAGCACAAGCGTCACCTATAAAGAAAGATCGTGTTCATATCAAGAAAAAACAGCTATGCCGAATGCTGATGATGGCTATAATCGGAAAAACAACGTTGTCGTAAATTTGGTCATGACTGAATGAAAAACGAACGGTTGAGAATACAAGTGCACGAAATAACACTAGAAAAACTCCGATTGTCGCCTACAACGAGGTGGCGTACTGCGCTGTGCGTGTAGTCTCTCCAACGGTGCGCCTGCAAAGTGGGCGGAGTGACCACCTCCGGTTACGTCCCTTCCGGAGCGGATTTCTCGCTTCGGAAGGAGTATTTTGCGGCGCTACTTGGGGGTTTGCCTAGTGTGGGGGAACACACTAGTATGCCACCAAAATCTCATCAGCCTCGCTTTGGGTGGACGGTGCCTTTAAGGATTCCGCCCATCTCCAGACTTCGTCCACTTCTTACACGTAATTGAAGCGAACGCGTACGGAAAGCTTTGAAAAAAGCTCATTTTCGCCGTTTTCAACGCTGAAAAGCTCAGATATGGCTTCAGCATGGTGAGATGGCTCCGGAAAGGTGAAAAACCAAAGAGCGAAAATTTGCCGAGACGCTGTCTTCAAAGTCAGCATTGTGCATAAAAAGAAATTCCTGCCACTTAATAAGTAAGACTGAGTAATACAGTGCTGGCCAAAAGGTTGCAGCCACTCCCATATTCTGCTATATCTTACTTTGTTTCATATTGAACGGATCCAGATCTCGATATAACGTGCAAATAACACTGCTTAACACTATATCGAAAGATCATGCAGTTTCATGCACACAAAAGAAGGCTGTGGCGAAAATGACGAATGTGGTGAAATTTAGGTTGGTCAAAACTTGCAGCCACTTTCCGCTAAATGTCTTTGAAAAACTTGTCACCGTCCATTATCTTGGCTACAGATGCACCCCTAAGCCTTGATTTATGCAGTGCATGACACTCATCAAAGCCTAAAAAGGAGATTTTACGGAGCAAGTTTGCTTGTACGCCAAATGACCACAAAAATTGGACAAATCGTAAAACTGACGAGGAGTAGTCAGCTGACTCGTGCTCCCATGGAAAGGTTGTATCATCTAGACCTTTAATGGCTGCTTGCGAATGCGACAGAAAAAGCATTATGTGGCATGCTTCAAAATCTACCATCATCTCAGCTCAGATTCGGAGCACCTTTCAGCTTAAATTGGGCTCAGCGGTCTAAAAAGTTCTCAAACTTGATGAGATTACTGTTTCTGCAAAGACGAGCACTGACCCGAATTTTGCGGGGATTCACTGGAAGCATGGAGACGTTACTATTTCGGAAAAGTTTGCGCGAATTTCACAACTGATATTTCCCTTTGGTAATAACATTTCCTAGATGTGACAATCGCAAAAAATTTTCTCTGGCAGTAGCGCCCTCCATGCTTCCAGTGAATCCCCGCAAAATTCGGGATAGTGCTGGTCTTTGCAGAAGCAGTGTTCACATCAAATTTGAGAACTTTTTAGACCGCTGAGCCCAATTTAAGCTGAAAGGTGCTCCGAATGCTGAGATGATGGTAGATTTTGAGGCATGCCACACAATGCTTTTTCTGTCGCGCTAGTTGCACTGCATATATCAAGGCTTAGGGGTGCATCTGTAGCCAAGATAATGGACGGTGACAAGTTTTTCAAAGACATTTAGCGGAAAGTGGCTGCAAGTTTTGACCAACCTAAACTTCACCACATTCGTCGTTTTCGCCACAGCCCTCTTCTGTGTGCATAAAACTGCACGATCTTTTGATATAGTGTTAAGCAGTGTGATTTGCAAGTAATATCAATATTTGGATCCGTTCTATGCAAAACAGAGTAAGATTTAGCAAAATTTGGGAGTGGCTGCAACCTTTTGGCCAGCACTGTATGGTGCTTAGGGCCATGAATGAACAACGGAATTTCCACGGAGGGTTTGCTGATAAATGGTAACTTATAACAATCAAATGACGTTTATGACAACATTCAGAAATTATGCATAAGATTGCGCAAGCATTTTGGAAGAGGAAAACTACCTTAATCTTACGAGTATAGGACGCGGGGGGTGGAGGACATTAGGTCGCCGAATTCGGAAGAGTCCCGCGCGGATCCCCTGCAGGAATGCATGTCCGCGCATGTACAAGGGCGCGTATTTGTCGCAAATGCCCGGGGTGACCGCCCTTTTCCAGCGACCTAATGTCCTCCACCCGGACGCGGGGGACTTTTTTCTAAAATCGATTAGCACAGACGCGCCGAAGCACTTCGCGACCAACTAACTATATAAAGTGCTGCATATTGTCTGAGAGCATCATGCGGCATAAGTTTCGTATTTTGAAATAAAGCGAGGCGGCTTGCTTATAAAATCGAAAAAGGTTTTACACTTGTGAAAATAGGGTAGTTGATACTCCTTCTCCGGCTACGCGGCTGGTGCAAAAAGTCATGCGATGGCACAAAGAAAGCCATGTCTGCTTTTCGTCACATGTTCTTTTGACTTTCTTACATGACTCAACCATGACCATCTACAAACTGAACCTACTTATTACTTTTCGGATCTTTCAATCTGTCTTCCTTAAAGGCAGTTGATCAGCAAAATGGGTCTTTCTCGGACTTTGGTGGATTTAGGTAGTAGACCCCCAAGGACACTGTAGCCCAAACCCCACTTGCCAATTCATGCATTAAGTCCTGAAAAATGCGCTTCAAAACTCCACCAGCCCTGCCCCTTTCCATTGAGCGGGCGGGGCTGGTGGAGTTTTGAAGCGCATTCTTTAGGACTTAGTGCATGAATTGGCAAGTGGGGTTTGGCCTACAGTGTACTTGGGGGGCCACTACCTAGATCCATCAAAATCCGAGAAGGGTCCATTCTGCTGATCCACTGCCTTTGAATTTGGCCGTGAAGCATTTTGAATGGCGGCGCAATGCTGCTTCATGCGCTGTGTTGATGCGCTAAAAAACATACACATTTGCACTTTCTTTCCGACTGCACAAAGCTTTGCAAGAACCGTTCATCAGAAGCCTGACTTATGGCTGTAAGTAGCGCATGGTTGCGGGGTATAGGACAGTTTGTTGTGTGTGACGGAAAAAGTTGCAATTAAGGCTTTAACACTTTCAAATCCAAGTCTTTGTGTTTATGGCAGGGCCAGCATGAGACTGATGAATGGACTCGTAAGAAAACGTTTCGCCTTTGCCGTATTTAAATTTCACAATTTACCACTTGATAGCTCCGGCAGGGATCAGTTCAATTGGAGCATGTTTTTTTTATTCACCCGCCTCGTTACGAATTTGGGTTCCTTCTAAAAGGAGACTATGTTTGACAGTTCGTCTCCTCTTCGCTAGAACGCAAGCTCTTTATTCGCCCAAGTTTTCATGTGTTCATGCTTTGTTCTGACTGCCTATTGCGCTTATAACCAGGTTTGGAGCCTATGCCCCAAGCGTTGTAAAAGAGTCACTTTTCACCTTCCATTACCTGAATTTCAGAAAAAGCCTGTCACAACATTCACTTAAAGAAATTTTCCACAATATTCTGCACTATGCTCCTTTTCGTCCCTGTCCGTTTATACCCCGCACTCGGAGTCACATGCTGCACATGCGTCTGCAAGAGAGGCAGTTTTACTGTTAAACAAAGAAATTGATTTTAGAGGTTGACGCGCGAGCAAGATCATGCTTTTACGTCTAGTGTCAAAACATCAGGAATTTTGTAAATGACTTTCAAAAAACTTGGTTTAACAGTTCGCTAATCGATCGACGCTAATAGCCTGGAGCAACGAATGTAGAGGAGTTCAGAAAAGCAATTAAAGGCAGTGTCTCACCAAAATTTAGTTGCCGAGTTTTTTGCATTTTGCAAGCATGTCGGACCCTGTTTAGCACTGTATGGGCCTAAAATCGCACGAAGTTCCCAAAAACCCCGTTTTCTGGAGGCCCCGCGGAAGCAACGTGGACGAGTTGTACCTTCCAACTTCAGCCTCAGCCACAGTGACAGCAACACAGGATAGGCGGGCGCCAAGTGGAGGGACATGTTCAGACGCGTAAGGGGGGAGACCGAAGGAGGGGAGACGGTCTTTTCGCACGGGCGGTCTCCAGAATCTCCCTGATTTTGACGTGTTTTAACATGTAGTGCACGCCGCCTTTCCTCCACCTGTTTTGCTTAGGCAGAAGCCGCCGCAGGGTGTGTCGCGCGCGGCGGTGGTCCTGTGTGGAAAGCATTACGGTCGTGCGAATCGTCCTACACCCCCGAAGGAGTCGTCCGCGCGTACCAAGTCGCTCTCCGCGTACCACTTTGAGCGAATTTTTCTCAGCGTGAAGGAGGTCAAATTGAGTGGGACTTGTTGCAATGGCCTATTTAGAGGTTCCTATAATAGAATATGTGAAAATCCGCGCGACCTCAACTTTGGTGAGATACTGCCTTTAAAGGTAGCGTCCACCCAAAATTTCGCCTCCCATGTTTTCGCCATTCTGGGGCCTTTTCATGATCCTGGTTACAGATTCGAACTTGAAATTGTCCATAACTCACAAAAACCCGATTTCTGGGGACCCTGTTTTGGGGGCGTGGACGTGTTTCGGATTGTTCATTCCCGTCGGCATGCAGCGGAAAGGAGATGTAACTGTGGGTGCAGTTGCAGCGGTATACAACTTCTGCTCACTATTATATCAATACGTGTCGGGAGGCAGTTTCTGGCTAGGCAGTGTCTGATAGGATCTGGGCGGGGTCCGATAGCACTTTAGCTGTTCCAAGCCCCTTATCTCCATTCAAAGACAACATTATAAGACCGGACCAACGCAGATGTCCCTTTCCTGGGGCCTACATTCAGGATCGACACTAATCGGAAGGGGTTAGATTTAGCCTGGACACTGCTTTTTTGTAGAAGCGATTGATCAAAAAATGAACCAGAACCATGCGGTAGGGGAAAAAAGGCTATTTCAAATGCATATAAAATTGAAATGCGTTGTGGTGCTTTGAGTTTTGATCATCGGTTGTGTTTGACCTCTATCCGGAGGAAGAGAAACTCGGCTAGACTAGCTACTGTGCTGTGTTTCACGCAATCAAACATTGGCGGCCTTGCTAAATCCAATGAAGGATATTAAGAGTGAAGGCTGTCTTGCATTATAAATTGTTAGCGAGTCAGAACTAGTTACGTACGCTACTTTTTTGAGCTAAACTTACAGTTGTCGGAAGAGTTATCGAGATGCATAAGACTACTCCATCTTATATATAAAGCTGAATGTCTGTTTGTCTGTCTGTCTGTATGTCTGTATGTCTGTATGTCTGTCTGTCTGTCTGTCTGTACGTATGTTCCGAATAGAAAACTCTATTTCTGAACCGATCCGGACCAAACTTGGCACACATACACTACGGGCCCCGGCGGGTGTCATAGGCTACTTTTCGTCATCGATCGATATCGATTTTATCGATTTTTTGCAAAATTTGAGCTACGGGGCTGGGAGTTGGCACAGGGGGGTAAGTGAGCATGGGGATTCCGAATACAATATTAGTTTTCTAAATCGTGCATTACTTTTATCGATTTTATCGATTTTTTTGCAAAGTTTGAGCTACGGGGCTGGGATTTGGCACAGGGGGGTAATCGAGCATGGCATGCTCGATTACACCCCCCGCCAAATTCCAGCCCCCTAGCTCAAATTTTGCAAAAAAATCGATAAAATCGATTAAAGTAATGCACGGTGTCGAAAACTATTACTGTATTCGTAATCAGCATGCTCGATTACCCCCCTGTGCCAAATCCCAGCCCCCTAGCTCAAATTTTGCAAAAAATCGATAAAATCGACATCAATCGATAACGAAAAGTGGACTGTGACACCCGCCGGGGCCCGAAGTGTATGTGTGCCAAGTTTGGTTCGGATCGGTTAAGAAATGGAATTTTCTATTTCTATTTCGAGCATACGGCGGAGCCGGGTAAGCCAGCTAGTAGTAAATAAACTCAGACAATCGCAAAAGAAGCTCCGGGGCAAATGACTTCTAGAACTTTCGCGAGAACGCTCATAACGCTCCACGCGGAACAATAGCAGCGTTCACCCTGGAAGTTTTATAAGCTCAGTTTGCTCCGGAGGTTCTTTGCGACTGTCTGAGAACTACCTTTGGTCGGTGAAACAGCATTTCACGTGGATTCCCAAGCAACTGCTGACTGCACAACCTATATTGGAGGCACTACCACGCATTAACTGAAAGGCGATTTCTGATATATCAGTTGCAAACAGCTTTTCAAGCGAATGTGCATACGTTGGCATAATTAAAGGCTTCTTTTTGCTGTGGCATAAACTTTACAGTTCCTTCAGTAACGAGGAATATAAAATTGGATTCGAATTTTTGTTGAACATCGTAGATGTCTTCCTTCCAGCTTTTGACGGCGAAATCACTAAAAATTCAGACGAGGTATCACGATAGCACACAAAGACGATCGAGTGGCAGCAGCATTATAAGGAATGAAAACCTTTGAATATCAATGCTTTCGAATTTAGAGCTTTGTAAGACGTCTGCATTGACACAGAGGGGAAAAAATTGGAAGATACGTACTAACTAATGAAGTATCCGTTTTCATTCTGCGGCATCTCTGGTGTTTCAGAACAGATACCGTCCAAAGCATTCGCAGCTTTTCTTTCAAGTGCACAGTCATAAGCCTAGAATAATGCGGGACAATTGATACTGAGGTGAAGCAACATATCAGCATATCCCGAGAGTTTTGTCCGTTTTTTCAAACCACATAAAACCACACACAATAAAAACTTGATTGAGTTTCAACTTGGATTCGATGCAGCTTTTCTTCTTTTTATGGATTCATTGCCGAACCTCAATCTTGTATGCTTCTTTTGATAATTGCCAAAATTCTACACTCTCCAATTTATCTACTCAAAGTTAGGCTAATTTTCGAATTTCTTTTGAAGTTTCGGAAAGGATTAAGTATGGCTCAGATAGAACAATTTTCGGACTATCGGTAATATTTTTAGATTCTCCTATCCTGCTGGTTTTAGCTTCAAAAAATTATTTCTCGAGGTCTCGATTTTTGGCAAATTCATGAAACACGCAACTGCAGCAAATACACGAAAGCTTTTGAAGTTTCTCCGAATTGAAACATGATTTTCCTTAAACACTATTTGTGCAACATAACCGAATTTGATTTGCTTTGAAAAAGTAGCTTTTCGGAATTTTCGCTACTTTTACGTGGTAAAGATAATCAAAAGCAGCGGTTTTTATCAAATAAGTAATCATAACGGACTTGGTAAACGTGGCCCATGTAATCTAGAATGGTAAGAATGTAGCCAAAAGTTTGCTCTACATAACAGTTGCCAGCTCTCTTTTAAACATCAGGATAAATTGCCAGCGCTCCTTCAAACATCAGGATAAAATTTTTTACAATTCAGAATTTTGGCGTTTTTTGCTGGCCTGCAGAGCCGTGGCGATAACATTGCAAAGAAGAGTAGATCAGAGAACAAATTTAGCTGTAAGAAAGAGGATAAAAATCTGAATTAAATGGTACCTATTGCCCATGGACATGGACGGTGTTCTGTGAGTTTTAGTGAGCGACGAAAAACGAACAAATCTTTCGGAACAATAACTAATATAATCTCTATGATTAGCGTGATAATTCACAGCAATTTCGTTTCACTGCTAATAGACGTCGTTTTTCATCTTCCTCTTAAGCCATACTTAGCTTCAATGCAAACGGTCTGAAAAGCTTAAATAAACTATTCATTGAAATGTTTCCTAGAATTCCCCATTTTTAGATTGTAGTATTGTGCTTCTCAATGCCCTAACGTAAGAACGTTGCCAGATTTCCAGCAACTAAGACTGCAAATCAATAATCCTAATTTCATTACACTAATTATTTGTGCGGATAAAGCTCTGACCTCAACACCTATAACATATATTGGGTGGACTTGTAAGTTCGTTCGCATCATTTTCAAAAATTTATAACTACTGAATTTTCCAAACGATTTGCCTACTTTCATTTTCATTCAAAAGAGCCAGTCATGTTATTCATAATGGTAATATCTTGGCAGCTTCCTACTGAGCTTCTTAACAGTAAAAATTGGAACAGTTAGTATTGTAAGGTTTACTACCAGCTCTTTCTGACTGTGCAAAGTTTGTGGTGAGCGTCTCTGTGATAAATTATGATTTTTGTACAAGCAATGCAAATGGCGAATCTGATTTATTTTAGCATTCATCCTTGAAGTCATAACTTTTCATAGAGACGCTCAGTGGCACAAATGCTCGCTTAGAAAGAGCAAATAATGAAACCCTATAATACTGACTTCTCTGATTTTTACTGTAAGTCAGATTTTTTATGACCATGCACAAACAATTCAAAATTTGAGTGATTATCTTCTGTCGCTTTTATCTATGCAGTGTATGCACCATAGGAAGTATACTTGGGACCGAATCGAATAATTATTCGATCATTCGAATAAATCAATATTCGAATATTCGTCGAACACCGAACATTCAGAAATTCGATAAGAATTGACTATTCGAAAATTCGATAGCACCAATGTTCGAGAATTCGCTATGCATAGCGTATACGGGATGTTTTAAAAGTATCTACACACCGTTTGATCGCCAATACCTCTCAAAGTCTTTTGCCAATTGAGTAACATCCAGTAGGGATGGCTTCAGCTTATAAATACAGCAGGAAGCGAATCACCCATGTTTTTCTTACTGTGTGTTATCACAATAGGAAAGTCCAGCTTATAGACCAACAACAAAATAAGACATCCAAAAAAATTGTCCCCAAAAAAGGTCTAAAATTTGTGCAGCAGTGTTTTTACGTATGCTGGTTTTACTACGCATGAGTTTTCAAGCTTTTTAAATGGCAATCACATTTCTGAAAGGCGTTGAAAAACACTTGTTACGGTGTATCGTTTGTTCTCCAGCAAATTTCCCATAGGTACCACGTTATCTCGCTGCCTTTCGCTATTTTGAACGTGTTAACCTCGGGCAGTTCCGTTAAAATCTCAGGAGAAACGTGTCAAAAAGAGCGAAAGGCAGCGTCGCACCACATACGCACGCTGGCTCACATGGGAACTTTTCTTGCGGATACAGGATACCTGGCGTAAGTTTTGAAAAAAGCATTGCGGTTGAGTGCAAATTCTACATAAAATGAGTGTATTTAAATCTAAAGCAAGACTTTCAGCCCTTTTGATTCTTTTTCTGGAAGTGGCTCTTGATGTTGTGAAACCCGCTTCAGTCTTACGGTAATTTTACAACACTGAAAAGCGATTGATAAATCGCCTATACTTTAAGTTGATGTCAGCCTACAGATCTATATACTGTTGGGACCTATATCCAATTGCAACTCTCAGTGAGGGTATATAATCTTCTGTAAAGTACGAAAAATCTCTTCACAACCGTCACAGGAAGCTTTTAGGTTCCTAAGTCTCTCACGTCACAACTAAACCGTTTTTTCATCGCAATATGTACCATAAGAATGTGATAATTCTTAGCACTCATGAAACAATTTATTCTTAGTGTTTTGGCCTTTCATAAGCAGTCTCAATGACGTAAATTATTCGGTCAGTATTCGAAAATCGAATGATATTCGAAAATCGAATAACATTCGAAAACCGAATAGTATTCGAAATTCGAATAACAAATGATATTCGATATTCGAATATTATTCGATTCGAAATTTTCATTTCCGAATATTATTCGATAGCCGAATATTCGAAACTTCCGACATTCGAATAATATTCGAAAGTCGAATAAATACTCGAAATTTTCAATTTTCGAATAATATTCGATAGTCGAATATTCGAGAACTTCGATTTTCGGATATTATTCGATATTCGAATATTCGAAATTTTCAATTTTCGAATATATTCGATATTCGAATATTCGAAAAAAATTTCGAATTTCCCCAAGTATAATAGGAAGCCGCCAAGATACCATTAAAAATAGCGTGATTTGCTCTCTTGAATGATAGTAAAAGTAGATAAATCGGCTGGAAAAATCAGACAGTATGAATTTTTTAAAATGGTGCGAACGAACTTTCGGAAAGACTCAATATAACAGAGCTAACCATCTTTCTCATATTTTTTGCTGCGGGAAGCGTTATTGGATTTCCTTTTGAATCGACGCTCTCCTGCAACCCATTAGCCAACTTCGTCCGTAGCTCATTTACGACTGTGAGTATTTGGTTGACGTCATCCTTCGACATAGCGCCATTTTTGCAGTAAGCATCATCTAGAGTGTATCAATTTTATTTCAAAGATAAAGTCCAGGCGAAACTGAACAAATGGAGATCGTACGTGGAAACTGTTTTTCGGGCTCAACTAATAAGGGAAGGACACTAACTTAGATTCGCCTTTTGAGATGACACACATACATTTGGAATCAGCTTTGAACGCTGATTCCAATTATGTCATCACTAGCTGCTTAGCGTTTTTCCAGAGCGAGTTATGGGCTTGCCCTTGTGAGTAATTAACAAACTTCTGAATGTCGTAAGACGGCGTAGAGATAAGAATCTGCTCGAAAAAAAGTGCTAAGATGTTAAATTAGCATCAGATTAATTTTTTCGATCTTGAAAGGGAACATTATACAACTGCAAAACCACCTAGACGTCAACAACGCGGCGTCCGTAGCTCGAGAAGCACGCAAAGTTTGCATAGAAAAGAGACCATAACTCGCTTCAGAATAAAGCCAAGCAGCTAGCAACAGCATATTTGGAATCACCATTCCAGCTGATTCCAAATATGTGTGTACCAATTCAGTAGGCAGATCTATGTTAGTATCCTCCCCTTGTAAGACTTTATCCAAGCGGCAACACGAGAGTGCAAACCGCTGAGATATTCACCTCCAAACAAGAATCCGCTACCGTACATGACGGACAATTTATGTGTGTATGTGCATGTGTATGTGTATGTGTATGTGTGCTGTCGGCTTATATGCTAGCGTGGGAACCCATCACCTTCCTGCAGAGTCTCCGCTCAAAAGCCTGCAAGCCGAAGCGAATCGTCCAGTAATTATACGATAATGGTAACAGCTGCCTGGGCGCTGTTTTTGAAGGGAGCCTGAGAGTGTTGCAGTCCTGTAGCTACAGAGAAAAGTGACCGAAGCTAAGGACTCTGACAGCTTGTATTTCTTATAGCTCACCACAGCAGCTTCTGTTGCGAGAATAGGCTTCGGCATAAAATGAAAAGGTCATTCATACCCAAATCTTTTTGATAATTTGTAGTAATAAGCGACGATTACGGAAAGGGGGATAAAATGTATGCTTTCAAGATCTCACACCTCTTTTGAAGGGGAACTATAGAATTTAGTGCGTATTAGAAGTCAATATTTAGTTTGTTGACTCTTCGCCTGCCATGATCTCAGATTATTCTAGCAAAAGGATTAGCAGATTAGAAAAACAAAGACAGGGGTAAAAATAAGACTTACTTACTTATTTTTGAATGAAAGAAATTTCAGCGCGACATCTTGAAGAATTTCTGTCTAGTGATACAACTCCGCTCATAATTTGTGAATAAAATCGCTGGAGTTCGCCGAAGTTCGCCCTGCATTGGCATATCTTGCTCCAGACTACACCAATTCTGAATCCAAAGCACCATTCACTCACCCCGACGAGGTACATTTTCGATAAATAGAGATGCCCGTTTGAGCATGATAGTCATTAAAATTGTGGAATTCACAGACTCTGGCCCATGGTATTATATATTGCTCAGAGTGTACAGTTATCGCATAACGGTCACCTTACCGTAAGCAAAGATTTGAAAACATCGTCGGAATTCGACCGACTGTTGCCCCCAAACGCACTTTCCATATAAGAAAATGCATCTCGTCGAGCGGAGTTTAATAGTGTCTGGATTCATCATTTGTCCACTCTGAATCAAGGTATGGCAATGCAACGCAAAGTTCGGCGAATCCGACGAAGTGCTATGATTCTTTTTTACAGATTACGGGCTTTATGTTGAGCTCTTCATTTTCTGCATACTTAAAAGCCCGACCAGCCATTCAGGATATAGTATAGCGACGAAATCTCATAGCCTCAAAATCAACTACAGGAAAAAGTAGCAGTTGGCATCTGCTCAGAACTTTTTTCTCGTGCAGGTCGAATATGACAGGCTAAAAGCTGTGGCACGATCAAATCGGACACATGTAAAAACCTAGAAGCTGTTAGCAAATTTCTGGGTATACTATTTGAAATCGACAATCTCTCAAAAGTCCCGCTTTGGCAAGAACAATTTGCCCAACATGAAAATATCATACGACAAATACAACGCAGACTATGGAGACACTGTCTTGAACAGGGAGAAGTCCTTTGCTCTTCAGCTGATAATCTACTTATATAAGTGACTTGAAGAAACATCAACCCTTTCTTTGAAAATTTCCAGCAAAAAAGATCAAAACCTTCAATCATAACGCTGTAATTCGTCACCATATCGTCTCATCTTCTTAACCGTGAAGCTGTCATTGAACCGAGAAGGTCATTAGTGCTTCAAAGGATATGTTGCTGCTAACGTTTTACTGAGGCACATGCGCAAAGCCTTGAAGACCTTGAAGATTACTGAGCCCCTCTTTTCGTGTTATATGACCGAACCCTCCCGAAAAGCAGAGTTGAACTCACCATCCTCAGACGCACCCAGTACAGGAAGTAAAAAGATGGGCTGGAAAGAATTCTTGTTCGCTGTATAGGAGATGTGAGATGCAACTTACCAAGTATTTCGGACCAAGCATATTTTGAAATGCTGGCTTACGCTTCTCTGTCTCTTTATATGCACTATTTCAAAAGGAACTCTGTAGCCGTTCGTTAATATGACGTCAATTTGGCTACATTATAATGCCGCGATTTTGATATTCTCATGATTTTGGTAGCAATGATTTATGATATGAAATCGTGGCATAGATGGAACCCTTCAAAATGACGCCGATATTTAGAGTCAACTACAGCCGACAGGTGTCTCACTGCTAAATGAAGCAAAACATTGGCGCAATACAAAAACAAAGCTATATGTTGCCCATTTAATGAAAATGGGAGGAAAATGACTAAAAACTTAAGAATTTTTATGACATTTTCGTGCTGCGCCTTCTCCTTTTCCTTTGTGAAATATTGAAATTTTTGCAACTTTATTGGAATTTTGAGAACTGAGATCATCTTTCACAAAATAGTCCAGAAGATCGACAGAATATGCCGAAGATGCGAGATACATAGGTTGTATTGGTTTGCCTGAGTTTTGCGGCTTCTTTTAATACAACTCTTCTCTTTTCGATTGCGGCGCACTCAATTTTCGAAATCATACTACTATGCAAGTACGTCCAACTTGTTCGACTTTCAATAAAAAAAAGTAGTTCTGTTCAGGTATTTTCGTAAAACAAGTAAAAATTGGGTCTTTACTCAATTTCCCTCAACTTTCCTGCCGTTTTTCATTCCCCAAGTCAATAGTTCAAAACCCCAGCTGACTTTGACTTTTGTGTTGCACAAAGTCAGCTGTTGCTTTGAAAATTCTGCCCACTCTAAAAGATTTTGTTCTCCAATTTCCGTAGGGATCCTAGATACCCTTCGACACAAAACAAGCTGCACCACGTAGCCTTCAAACTTTCGCACAAAATGTTTGATGTAGATGAAGTTCAAGAAAAATTCTAAAGCTGTCTTCTTAGGCCAGAACGCATATGCTTTAAAAGAATCTCACACTATAGCTTAAACATGTACTATCCATGTCAACAAGAGATTTTTACCTTGAATATGCGCAATCGAAGGCATACAAGCATAGAAACCCGTACACGCATATTTCGAAAATTTCATTTATTGTTTCGATCACCGCAATATCCAATATTTTGCGAATGTCTGACGAGCAAGTATATAATATAGAGAATCCAAGGGGCTTCGGTGCAAAACCCGATTCTCCCCCCCCCCTGTGCCAACTCCCAGCCCTGTAGCTCGAAGTTTGCAAAAATTGGTGAATTGATAACGGAAAGCAAACTATGTCATGCCCGTTGGTCCGAATGTGTTTGGAATTAGAATCCTATACCGAGCATATGTACAAACAGACATTTTTATACACATAGACATTTAGCTTTATAAGTGAGAATTATTTATATTAAGTCGACGTTCTTGCTGAGAGCATTTTATGAGTCCAAAAACCAATTTATTAAGAATGCGACAGCCGGGATTTTGCTTGTTTCCCAAGAGTGGGAATAGAGCAACTCTTTGCAGAACACTTAGCTGCTTTACACGAGGAATAGAAAATTTCCATAAGTTCCGAGTTTGCCACAAAAGGCTTGAATATATTAGCGCTTTTCAGCATTTCTTCCTGCGCCTTTACGAAACGCTCTACCATTTACACTTGTCTCATTGAATTGCGACTACAAGGTGGACTAATCGACAGCCATAAGAAAAAATATTGGGGGATGTTCTGATTTTTCAAAAAGGAGCAGTGAAGCTTTTTGCTTTCCACGTTTGTCTGCCCAACAGTGATATCAAAATAGAACAGCGAAGCGTGCCCAATGGCACGCCCCCTTTTTCTAAAAATTTGGAGCCTTGGGCCCCCAAAAATTTTGAGAAGCATCCCAAAAGTTTTTCGGAGTCCTTGGCGTTAGCTACATATCTTCATGAGAAGGAATATCCCCCCTCCCCCAAAAGGGATCGCCACAACTGTGAATTTTGTTTCGTGTAACCTTTAATGCACTCTTTAGCGATTTTGTAACTCACAAAGTGAAATACAACACATTATTTGCGCCAATCTGGTACAACTCTTCATGTTATAAGCAAAATTCTGTCCTGTGTATGAGGTTCATTAGTTTCATTACAAATTTATATCTTAGATCTCAACGATAAACTGAAAGCAGGAGGATTCATGATCTTTCACCATCTCTGCAAAAAAAATTTATTCAGAGATTTTAGAGTCGAGAAATAAGAGCAAACTCGTGTTCTTCCAATAGATATTAGTAGCAGATAGTACGCAGTATGTTTACTTATCTTGAAGCGTTAGAAAATTTTATCTCTTTTATCTTTCTGTAGGGAAAAGCAGGCCCCATCAGATAACTTAAGGCAATCATGAAAAATTTGATACAAGAAAAGTTAGGAAGTAAAATCTAAAAACTTTCAAATGCCCAAAAATTGAATCTCCCCTTTTAGGAAAAACTTACAAACCTTTAATTTGCTCATAAAAGTTGCCTGTTGCATCAGCTATGCACACGCATACTTCCATTTTTTCTTTATGGCTAGAATTTATAAAAAAACAAACTTTGGCACATTCTAGTAAAAGGATCCCGACATAAATAATTTCACACTACAAGCGCTGGAAGTCTAACAGTAGATTATCAGCTTTCTTCGAGCGTCAGTTTTCGAATATCAGAATATCGTGATTAAACCAGAAAGGCGGGCTTTTTCAAACTTTTAGCCCCTTCTTTCCAATTTCCAGTTGAGAGAAAAACACGACAAGTGATAAATGTCTAAAAATATGCTTGAACGCTAAAAGTGCGCAGGATCTTTTGCTCTTGTGTTCTTCGTGTATTCGACATTTTTAAGATTTTTTCCGCAAACTTTATGTAGATCGGACCATTCCCTGTTGTTCAAATACTGTCCTATAAAGCCTTTCTACCCATTGGTGTATTCTATACAATTTTGAATTTTCTCTGCCGCTCCAGGAATGATATCCACGAAAGTCCATAATGGAGGGAAATGGAAATCCCAAATCTTCCAAATCCCAATTTATTCGTTCGCGGTAGAAACTGGTCGGAATCTACTTTCGCTAGCGTTATCCAAAATTTTTTATCTCATCGCAACCACGACGCAAAGCGGTGTGATGAAAATGACTCAACCCTACTTGAGCTCTCGCTTGCGAAGGAATCATGCGAAAAGTACATTTAGAATGGGGCAAAATGGGATTTACCTTCATTTTAGGCCCCAGGCAGACTTCACGCGATTTGATCGTCGCGACTGAATCGTGGCGAGACAACTGTTACAACATCATTCCATGCCGATCAACTTGCATTTGATTGTGATACTTTTCCAACCCAAAATTTTTGAAAGTGAAATGAAAGTTAATGGAAATCTTGGCGATTAGATCGCGACGATCAAGTCGCGTGAAGTCTGTCCGGGGCCTTAAATGGACTTGAAAGCCCATTTTACTCCCAGCAGCAAGGTGAGCTGAGATTAAGCCCATTTTTGACCTTTTTGCATATTTTTGATGGCGATTTTATGAGAATGTGTCCCTTAGAACATACTATGGTAACAAGTGAGTGGAGAAAGTTTCATGTCTTTTATGAAGTCTGAACTAAGTATTTCTTTCTAAACTTATAGAAACGCTGTAAAAATCATGGAAGAAGGTTAAAATCACAAAATATTCGCTAACAAATTCAAATGCTTCCAAATATCAGATCAATGCGAATATTCCTATGTAAATCGAATAAAGTTCGTTAACTCTTCAAATTATCAACCAAAACTAAATTCATGATTTGTATTTGAGAATAAGAAAGATTTGCGTTTTAATACAATTACTCAGAAGCTTTCTTTTGACTATTCTCGTAGAACCGAATGTCAAAGAGGCATTTCAAACGCGATTTTGAAATTGGTTGCAAGAATACTGGAATGCCGCTAGCTAAGAAAAACTTTGCGAAAAATTTTCTACTAGCAATAGTCCATACATTCAAATACATAGAGATATAAACATTAATGCTGAAAGACAAAGAAGAGCTAAAGTAGAACATTTGCGAAGTCATCCTTTGCGACTCGTAGTTTTCCGATTTAAAGTTTGGGTTGTAGGGCAAGGTTTCCTACGAGATGAGCATTTTGCTTCACAGATTGCAGTGCAAGTACTTTCCCCAGAAAGCTCTACATACGAATTTGACTTAAAGCAGATCCATAGAAGTTTGAGAAGCAAAGGCCCGGATATTATGTACATTCTATTCTTGAAGATCTTTTCGATGCATAGTTATCGACAACAAATGGAATTTTTTGATGTATAATGAAGTGTGAAAGCATAGAATATACTGTGACTGTCATCGTAATGTTAAGTCAGCTCTAATTAGATACCGACCACTTGGTAGAAATGAGTTTGCAAGAGTGAGTAAACAGGTTGAGGCAAGTTGGAGAAAGCTTTGCTGAAGAATTTGACATGGAATGAATGGATTCGCAAATGCGATACCTTATCGCACCGCATGGACTAAGTCCATTCTATTCGCACGAAAAGCCCATTTCGCGGGAACTTTCGTGGATATCATTCCTGGATAAAAAACATGAACATGCATCAAATTTGTCAATCAAATCACCAAAAATCTGACCACTTCGGCGGGACTTGTGCTCGACGAGAATGTGCTTTTATTTCTCATCATTACTTTCATCCAAGATAACCGAAAGCTAAAATATTATCAACTTAAAAAAACCTATATGAGAACTCGAGAGCACATATTGCGCGGATTTGCAAAACTGTCGTCTCCTATATCCAGTGTATCCAAGGCAAAATCTCAAAAATTTGTTTTTATAAAGGACTAGCTGGCTTACCCGGCTCCGCCGTATCCGGACCAAACTTGGCACACATACACTTCGGGCCCCGGCGGGTGTCACAGTCCACTTTTCGTTATCGATCGATGTCGATTTTACCGATTTTTATCGATTTTTTTGCAGAGTTCACCTACAGGGCTAGGAGTTGGCACAGGGGGGGAAGTGAGCATGGGGATTCCGAATACAATATTAGTTTTCAGAATCATCGATTACTTTTATTGATTTTATCGATTTT